ACAATGAGGAGGCCTTGGAGTCAAAATGGTTGAGAACCACTGCATTACACATAACGAAGATCTGACGAGCGACATTAACACTCCCTGACTTGTTCTCCATGCAGAGGGCGTCCACATCGATGATACGCTTCTCCTGGCCGCCCAAGATGTGGTTCAGCTCGAGGTTGAGACGTTCAGCCTTCTCCTTAAACACGGTCCTCTCTGCCTTTACATCCTGCAGTTCATCGCTCAGCGTCTTCAGACTGTGTTCAAGCTCTTCTCTCTTAAAATAATAGTGCCAGTGGATATTCTCACAAAGTGCTGTATTTGAATTACTATCATATACTGAAAACATGAATAGGTCACCAGAGAGATCATGAAAAATATGTTGTTCTTATTCACTTGAATTGCAAGAAGTGAGGATGGGAATCATATAAAACCTAAACGTATAAAGACGCACATGCAGTGCTGCCTTCTCCAGCTGCCTGACCAGATCCTCGCGCTCGTGAGCAGGGAAATGTCTGACCCCGACTTCATCGTCCCCAAGCCTCTGTTTGGTGATGGTCATTCTTAACAGCTATGAAGGGAAGATGACAGCAGGGATGTGAAAAGCTTATTATATATTTGTATATCAATTTGTCCATGTATTTTCATGCAAATTTTGGGATATTGCATTAAAAAAAAACAATGGATGAAAACTCCAAGATGTGCATAAAATCTTAACATGCACCTAAAAACCTACGCACTCAACTGAGGTGGATTATTTTGTAATGTATAAAAAAAATAAATAATTCAATGCACATAAATAATGCAATGCACATAAAATGCAAAGGAAACACAGTTACCAAATAAATTCTTGGATGTGCAACAAAAAACCCATGTGACCTTGCCACAACATATCATGTGATTGGATAACTGGACTAGCCAGTGTCATTGCACACCATCTCAAATATTGTTATAGTTGTTCTGAAACGCCTAAACCAAAGTCTGTCATCAAAATTGGATTTGGTATAATTACCTACCAGTACTATCTCACACGATTGCACACCCAAACATCAGGACATCCGAATGCAAAAATAACACAACAGGGTTTGTTTATCGTGTCTGGAAAAAAAGTTGCATGCTTCCTCATTTCCAACAACTTTATATTATTTTATTAGTGATACTTTGTGCCATTTTCACAGGACAATGTGACAATGTTGTGCTACTGAACACATGGGATGGAAGCGCTGCTTTATTCAAAAAAGTTTTATGCAATATTCCAATTTTTTTGCACAAGCTAATTCACATCTTTGGATGGAAACATAGCCGTTTTTGAATAGTTTTATGGGTACCTTATTGTCTCCCTGTGTCTCGCTGAGTCTCTGAGTCAGTTCCTTTATCTCGTCGGCTAGCTTCTTGTTTCTTTCCCTCGAATCCATTAACAACTGAGCCAGATTGACCTGAGAAAGAGAGAGAGAGAGAGAGAAACAGAAATGCAGAGAGAAGGAGATAGTAATTTCCTGCAAGAACTTGAAAAGTGAAATATCACACTCATCACCTGATTACGTTTTTCCGGTGGAAGTGAAGAGTCGCCATCCTGAAATTCATTATAAAACATACTGATGAACTATGAAGCCAAGAAACCTTTAAATAGACATAATAACGCATAGTAAGCATGCAGAGACACACAATGAGTTCTCTGTATTTCTTCTTCAAGCTCTGGTGTGTCTCTCGCAGCTGGTTGGCCATCAGTTTGTACTGGTCTCTCTCCTGCTGACAGCTGTCCAGCTCTTTGGACAGAATGAGGAGCGCGTCCTTCTTGCTCTCCAGCTTACACTTGCATATCAAGAACTGCAGGAATGAGTCACAAAAGCATGAGTCACAAAAGAAAAAATAATGGCAAAAATAAAAGCATTATAATTAAGCTATACTAGATAGATTAGACAGAAAGACTGATAGATGGATGGATGGATCACTTTTTTTTTTTTTTTAAGAGTACTACATCACTTTTTAGGACTGGGATATGACAAAACATTTCCTTGAATAAAAAACGCATTTCATCTAAACTGAAAACAAGAAAACAATTCAGCAAACCAATATTAATTCATGACATTTTGGCTATTTATCATTGCCTTTATTCAGAAAAAATATTAGCAAAATCAAAAAATGTAGCCGGTTAAAATTTGGCTGGTTTGACACAGAATGACGCAATTATAATTTACTCCAATACTCCAATCTTTGTTTTATTTACAACCCCAAAAATTTAATTTTATACTGTATATATATACAGTATATTTAAAAAAAAAATTTAAGTGACTGATCATTTCACTAGTGGTTCTTCATCAACTTCAAAGATGACTCAAACAAGCTAA